AAAAAAAACTAATAAAAACAAAAAAAAATAAATAAATAAAAAAAAAAAAAAGATCATGAAATCAAACAACGCTTACATTATTGAACCAGGAACTGTGGAAGAATTGCCGCGCCGTCACGCAATCGAAGAGCTTAACGAAATAACCTAGACAGAAAAAATACAGCTCATTCGCAGAACACCTTAAACCTGCATCCTAGTCACAGCCGAAAGAACCGTAAGGAGGGGGATTAACCCAAACCTCCACTGCAAGATTCCTGACAGCTCTTCAATGGCCCAGCGACGAGTGAAAGTCCGGTTATGTCTCCTCCGAGCACTTTCCGCCTCACGGCCGTGGGCCTTCCGGGGAGAAGGCCTTGTTGCTTGATCGCCCTCCATTTGCCACCAGGGCCCGAGGCAGCCCACCCGAGTCCCACTCGCTCCCCATCCACGGAGCCCAGCCCTCGGAGAGCCGCGCTCGAGGATGGACGCGGTCAGCCCACCTTCTGTGGGTGGGAAGGGCCGTGGCACCGGCTCCCGTGGGCAAGAACCACCTCTCACCCAACAGCACGACGTCCAGAGGCCGGGGCGGAGTCTGTTTCGGGGCTGGTTTCGGGGTGGCTTTGCTGGAAGCAGGAGGGAGGGCTCCCCGAGAACCACAGGAAGCGCCGCAGCCGGGCCCGGTGCTCCCGCCGGCAAACCCAATTTCCTGCTCATGAAGCAGAAGGCAGGCGGTGGGCGGGCCAGCGTCTGCCCTCCTGGGTGCTCGCTCCCCTGCCTCCTCCCCTCGGCCTTGGGCAGCCCCGCGTGGGAGATGGACCCAGCGTGGAAGCTGTGCATCCAGTTCCCTCGCTCCCCGTAACCTAGAACTTTCTAGTAGCCACACTTACAAAGTAATTCAACTGATTCTAATAACGTATTTTGTTTAACCCAAAATTTCCAAGATTACTATCCTTTGAACCTGTCGTTAGAAAATATTACCACCTAATCAGCGTAAACATTGCCGGTGAGGGGCTTTACGCGTTTGCTTTTCTTCTACTAAATTGACGTTCAGACTCAGCCTGTTCCGGGCGCTCACCAGCCGCCCGTGGCCGGGGCCTCCCTATGGGCCATGGCGTGTCTACAGCCTTTCTCGCATTTTCAGGGCCCATTGATAACTAGGGTCCCAGTGAGCAGAGATTTTCATCAAAAACTCCAAACCAGCCCTGGCCGGTTTGGCTCAGTGGATAGAGCATCGACCTGCGGACTCAAGGGTCCCAGGTTCAATTCTGGTCAAGGGCATGTACCTTGGTTGCGGGCACATCCCCAGTGGGGAGTGTACAGGAGGCGGCTGATCGATGTTTCTCTCTCATCGATGTTTCTAACTCTCTATCCCTCTCCCTTCCTCTCTGTAAAAAATCAATAAAATATATTTAAAAAAAAAACAAAACTCCAAACCAAGGTCTCCGTGTCCCAGTAGCAACTCACAGGCCTCCTTCTGAGCTCACAGGCTTTCAGAGAGACTATTTCATCAGACCCTCCCAACACCCACGACGTAGGCAGGGCCGAGGTCCTCTCCACGAATTATAGCTCAGAAAACCAGGGCTTAAAAATATTAGCCCGGCCGGCGTGGCCCAGTGGTTGGGCATTGATCTAGGAACCAGGAGGTCAGGGTTCGATTCCTGGTCAGGGCACATGCCTGGGTTGTGGGCTCCATCCCCAGTGTGGGGCGTGCAGGAGGCAGCGGATCAATGATTCTCTCTCAATGTTGATGTTTTTGTCTCTCTCCCCCTCTCCCTTCCTCTCTGAAATCAATAAAAATATTTTAAAAATATTAACTGGCCCAAAGTCAATGGCTAGAGGTTGGGGGTTGTGAACTTGAACTGGATCTTGAGACTCCAACTCCTCAGGTCCAGCTAGAAAGAGGCAGCACCTCCCCACACCACCCCCCATACCCCCCCACCCCACCCACCCCCACCCCCCCCACCCCCCGTCATCACGCTGCCATGACTCTTGTTTGCATGGCCCACTGATCACAAGGCCCAAGAGGACAGGGACCTCAGCCTCCTGTCCCAGCACCGAGCACAGCACCTGGCACGGAGCTGGCACACGGTTCCGACTTGATGGCATTGAAGTTCAGCTCCATCCAAAGGGAGACCCACTCCAGACGCCCGCCTGGCCATCGCCCAGATCAGTCCGCCTCTGGGACCTTCTGGTGGAGCCAACACCATGAAGCCTCCTCCACACCGAAGCGGCCTGTGCTGACCCCGGACGCCCCCTCACTTCCCAGCACGCCCGGTGCGCTCGGAGGGCTTTTCAGACAAACAGCCTTCCCCATGGCCCCGCGAGGAGGCTCACCTCGCACTCGCACTCTCCCATCTCCTCTCCCCCTGCCCCCGGGACTCAGTGCCAAGCAGCAGCCTTGAGAACTGAGGGAGCGGACATGGGCTCAGCGAGCCGCGCAGCCCCGTCCCCGCAGCAGGAAGCAGACTCCTGTCTTCCTCGTTGGCTTCAAAATACCGTTGGCAAGACCAGCCCACACAACAAGAGGGAAAGCCTGGGAGTGTCAGACCCTCCACCACATGTGCCCCCCAGATCGACACCCCACAAATAAACACCCCCGGGACCCACCAGGCCGACAGCGCCCGGGTGGGAACAGATTTCCCTGGAAACCGGCGCGAGCACCGGGGCATCGGAGTGGCACTGGCTGCGAGGGGAGCCGGGAGCCCGCGGGCGGCTTCCTGGACAGACCAGCTTCCCAGCAGGACGCCGCGGGCGAAGCTGGGAAAGTA